GGGTTCATCAGGTGTAGCCGCCGACCCTGGAGTGACCACTGGCACTGGAATGACCGGTGGCAATTATTGTGTTTTTATTTATTTATTCATTTATTTAACAGGGACAGTGCACATTAATGAACATTTCTGTAAATGTGCCAGAGTTAGCCAAGAGGCTATTTTTCATCTGTAGTTAGTTAGATTTTAAAAGTCAATCTAAAACACATTTCATTTTAAACAAGTAAATACAATACATTTAAAACATGCAACATACCAGAGGTGGGACCAAGTCATTGTTTTGCAAGTCCGAGTCAAGTCTCAAGTCTTTGCGCTCAAGTCCGAGTCAAGTCTCAAGTCTTTGCGCTCAAGTCCAAGTCAAGTCTCAAGTCAGGATGGGCAAGTTCAAGTCAAGTCCAAGTCCTAAACTTTGACAAAACGAGTCTTAAACAAGTCCTTATGTGCTTTTCAACAAATGTAATGACATCGATCAACAGAATCATACTTAATAATCAAACTGCTCTTTATTAGTCCCATTAATAATTTAATAATCAATTTTCTCTCTGCTGGTAAAGTAACGTGTTTTTCTATTTTGAGAGGGATCAGTAAGGTAAGTGACGGTTTGATTCAGAAGGAGTTTAATGGATAAGATCCCTGATGTTAAGGTAACCAGAATGTTTATTTCCACTGTGTACAACATGTTATAAGGGACCCACAATCTATCTTTATGCAAGGGATAATGTACAGCGAGGCATCTCTATGGGGAAAAGAACACCTGAATCTACATCCCTCTGTAGGTGGTACTTTAACTGTATTTTGATGCTAATACTTTTGTACTTTTACTTGTAACATTTTGAATGCAGGACTTTTTATTGTAACCGAGTATTCCTACACTCAGGTACTGTTACTCAAGTACAAGATCTGAACTTCTCCCACCTCTGGCAATAAATCCTGAGTGGTTACCAAAAAAAAAACCCCTGCTCTGAAGGTTATTTTCATTTTACAAATCCTGCACTCAGCTTTGCTTTCTCCAATATCATTGAAATGCAGCCAGAAGCTGCTTCTTTTTTCGGTTTTCGCAAATTTCTTGACTTCTTCCAACGCGCTTGCATTTAAATCCGGCTCCCCGTCTCTCCGTGGCTCTGTAGCTGGCCTGTACCACTACACCTGCTGTCTTTGGAGCGTCTGCCCCCCACCCTTCTTTCACATAATGGTATGATCCTAGTGTGTCCTCGCATATGATTGGCCGCATGGTGGCTCAGCAAAATAAAGTCCCGCCCCTGCCTGCATGGATTCACAGCAAGAGTTGCAGCGGCTGAAGATTCTGCTCTCCCCGACGGGAGTCTGCTCTTCGAGCGGCATCTTGCGATCGGCGTATTGGAGACCCCTGAATTAAATTATCAAGTCACCTCAAGTCAGAAGGCTCAAGTCCAAGTCAAGTCCCGAGTCATTGGTGTTCAAGTCCAAGTCGAGTCGCAAGTGTTTTATGATTTTGTCAAGTCGAGTCCAAAGTCATCAAATTGGTGACTCGAGTCTGACTCGAGTCCAAGTCATGTGACTCGAGTCCACACCTCTGCAACATACATTACTGGGATTAAATAAAACAATTTAAAATACAGAACATTAAAACAAAACAAATAAAACAAAACAAAAGAACATGTTAAAACATGTTAAAACACAGGCAGTGGGTTGTAAGGAGCAGAAGATTGGGTCAGTGTTGGCAGAGCGTCTCCCCCATCCCATTAAAATTCAAATTCTTGACTGAAAGAGCCTACAGTACATGTAAATGGAAGCATTGCCTATATTCATTTGAAAATAATTAGTACCCCCCTCTGAGTGGCTACGTGTTGAGTTCACATCTTGACTTTACTTCCTGATTTTTGGAAGACAAGACTGACCCAAGATACCTGTACATAGTGGAAAGTGAAATTGACATTGTCAAATTTAATAAAAATACAAAATAATGTTCACATTTGGGAACCGATTGGAAACATAGGACTCAATCTTTTGCTTCACATTGAGGGGAAGAGGCATTTTCCCATTGGTCCCAGTCCAGTTGGTTCTTTTCACCATTCTCCCATATGGTACAAATGGCTGTCTAGCCCTGTTTGTTTTTTTGACCTTTCAGATGTTGTTGTATAGCCTCTGGAGCAGAAATGAAAGATTTTTAAAAATGTTTACGTTTTGGTAAGTTTTTAGGGAAATGTTGTAATATTGCAACATTGGCCTTAGGTGGGAGCAGAATTTCTGTATTTCTACTCACATTGTCTGAATAAATATATTGAACAACTAAGGGTTAATTTGCAGGATTGATTGCTTACTTAGCCCTATATCAGTATATAGCATGAATAATAATCACACATCAGTCATATTTGTTATGAATAATCATTTATCATTTATTAAATAGTAAGTCGCTTTGGATAAAAGCGTCAGCTAAATGCAATTTATGAAAGCCTCACTCAGGATTTTTTTACCAAGTGTTTTTATTGCTCTTGGGGCATTAAAAACAAGATTTTAACTTTAGTTTTTTATATAATATCTGCATTTTCTCTTTTGAAAAACTAAGTCTTAGTTTGGCCATAGTTATTTAAAGTGGACCTATCATGCTATATTTGAATAATATAGTGTAGGACCATACCTATATAAGGCATATTTATACTTTTTTTTTCAAAATACCAAACAGATCATGCATTTTAGCCATGCCTCATTTTGCTCAATTTGAAATGTTTTAGATGTTTTAGCAAGGGTTGATTATGTGAGCAACAGCACCATCTAGAGGCCTGGCATATGTACTACAACGTCTCCAGCGCTTTCGAACGGCAATGCCGTGGTTGTCTCCTCCTGATTGGTGGAGTTGGCCCAATAGCCGTAGCGCCACCGTCCTGACGTCAGGACAGTGTTCAAATCTGGATCAGTTTTTATCAGATCCGTTGCAGCCCCTTTTTTAGAGATTTGGGTATGGAGGAAAATAGAGAGGGTTGTGTTTTCTGACACTTGGTGAGTTCCCTGGAACACCGGGGACACATATTCATGTATAAAAGACGTACAAAAGTGCATTTTGCATGATAGGTCCCCTTTAATATATAAAGACTATATATTATTGAATTACAAGATTAGATATACTTTATTTGATCTAAAATATTGATGTGTTCAAATGCTCTTCTAAACAAAACTGAAAGTCCATGAAAAGTTGTCTTCCTGTTTTTGTGAATGAAGCGCCATCTCCTGGTTAAATCCTGAAATTGAAAATCTGGCAACGCACTCTTGGAAAATAGTGGGAGGGCTTAACATTCCCAGATACTGGTCTTTGGCAGGTAGCCGGCAGGTAGCCGGCAGGTAGCAGGCAGGAAGCTGTAAGCTGGAGTCTGAAATAAGCTGCTCCATCTGTAGGTTCATCTCTCAAACAGTCAAAGTATTGAAAGATTGTAAAATTGAATTGAAGCCACTCTCCATTTAATGGACTTTGATCATTATTTTCTTCTGACTTAAAAGTATAAAGTATATAATAGTATAACTTAAATGAGCTGTTGATTAAGGTGATGGAATAAATAAATGAGTATAAGCTGTATAATTAAACTGAATATGAAATATTTCATCTTTGATGTTTGACAGGGACATGTTTTGGTCAAAACACTTTTGTTAGAATTATTATTATTATTTTACTTTATGAAACTGTTAAAATCAACATCTGTGTGTTTGTCAGGAAGCAGACAGACAACTAGCTAACCTATTGAGGTTTGAGGAAGAGCTGAAGGAGACATGGAGTCAACTGGAAATCCAGAGAACAGAGAACAGCAGAGTGAAGACAGAGGTACACACACACACACACACACACACACACACACACACACACACACACACACCACACACACACACACACACCACATACACACCACACACCACACACACACACACCACACACACTCACACACACACACACACACACTCAACACACACCCACACACACACCTACCACACTACACACACACACACACACACACACACACACACACACACACACACTCACACACACTCGCACACACACACACACATCACACACTCACACACACACACACACACACTCACACTCACACCACACCACACACACACACACCACTCACACACACACACACACACACACACACACTCACACACACACACGCACACTCACACACACACACACACACACACACACACAATCACACACACACACAACACCACAGACACACAGGGATTGAGTCTTGTGTGTATTGTCTCCCTCTCAGGTACAAGCAGTGAAAGAACCTGAGAATAATGAGGAGCAGCAGGAGGGCGTCCGCTCGGAGAATCAGACATCAGACTCAGGATTTCATATTGAGGTCGACCAACGGCGCAAATTCATCCGTCTCAGAAACACTTCCACTGAGGTAATGTTGTTTGAGTGGATAAACTCTGCATGAGTGCTTTATGAGTGTGAATAATGTAACTTATCCATATCTCAAATGAGCTGTTCAAACCATCAAAATGACTCGATGCCTAGAATCCAGTTTCTCTTGTTTTCATGTCATCTATAAACACAGTGGGTTCAAATATCACATTCATGTTGTCAGTCACTCTGTGTCTCATCCTCCGTCTCTCCCCTTATTTAACCTCCTGCAGTACAAACAGATGGGAGGCTGGGTGTTACATCTGCAGGTTAACGACAACAAATCCATCATGTACATATTTGATCAATCTTTGAGACTCGAGGCTGGAGGATTTGTCCATGTGAGTCTTTCTAGTTTTCTCACTTTATGTTGCATTTTTCCTTTTCAAATGTTTTTCATTCAGAACTGAATTATATATTAAAACACAAGAATGTAAAAAATGCATTATTACTTTCATTATTTCATGATTTAATGACTCTGCTTGTAATTCTGTGATTTTGTATTTTATTTTATTTACAGATGTGGGTTCAAGGTCAAGGTCGCAATAGTTCTGACACTCACCTGGTGTGGAGGGACCTGAAGCCCTGGAGATCTGGAGACAGACTGCAGGTCGTCCTCTTCAGCCACACTGGAAAGATGCAATATGAACGCTGTATGTAATCCACTTAAACAGAATAATGAACCTCCTCTGTTCTGCTCTGTTGATCTTACTCCACTTTTATTAGAAGTTTCAAATAAACTCTCAATTGAAAAAACACATAAAGCAGGAGTTTCAGGAAGTAGCTCAAATTGAGATGAGATGAGTCATGAGAGAAAGTTCCTCATTATAAACATTATAAACAGGAACAGCATGACTTCCTGCCCAAACACAGGTTGCTGTGACGCTCAGTGAAGACGAGGAGATCAACCATTTACAGACACACTTTTATTATTCTGATATTCAACAATTTAAAACATGTTTTGTGGTAAACAGATCTTCCTCTGATTGATGGCCACTGCTTTTATATTTTACTGAAAATCTACTCTTTTCGTTAAAAAATTATAATTTAGAAATCTCAGAAATGGAAATGTTTGAAATTGTGTTTTGTATTGATAGGTTCAGAAGCTGATGTGCAGCTTTGATAATATTCACTTTGGGAAATACCAACTTCCATGTATGTTTTTAATACATGTCACATGGGGTGCTACTTACAATTTATAAAAAATATATAGTTGAGTATTTGTATTAAATAAACAGTAAAGATAAGTCTGTTGTTGCTTTTTAACAAATGTCTACAGTTTCTACAGTTAAGTTAGCAACTATGTGAGGCTGCACAGCTGTCCTTTGAGCTATAATGCTACTATGCTTGCAGGAATGATCATGTTCAACCCACATCATTATGTTATATACGTTCAAGTTACGCCATGAAACTGAGAATGTTTTGCTGTTTCTACAAAAGCTTCTTGAAAGCTTCTTCTATATATTCACATACATTCATATAAAAAATATGTTGGGTGGGTTGTGTCTGAGAAGCTGAAAGTATCTGGAGTCTAAAATAAAACTCAGAACAACATACCCTCAGCTCGCCTTTTAAAATAAATGCATGCGTCAGTCAGTATCTCTGTGGTTTTTAACTTTGTCTTGAGTGTGAGAAAGTCTATGTCCTCAGCTCGTGGTGTTCTTTGTCTTGATGACCAAACTCTGATCTTTGTACATGAGTTATTTCTGTGTGACCCTGAGTTTCCCACAATGCAGCAGTCCCACCAGCAGCAGCAGCAGAACCACCATCACTACGGTGAACACAGTCCTTAAGACGAGGAGGACGTGAAGGGAGTGATCTGAGGAGGGACACGTCTCTCTGTGAACAGCTGCAAACACAACACAACGTGAATATATATAATAAAAAACTCCACATATATTCTACAAATGTAAACTACAGTGCATTATCTGACAGTCACCTTCAGAGATGCTGCACTTGTAGAGTCCTTCATCAGATTTAGAGACTCTTTGGATGGTGATGTTTCCTGTGGAGCTGCTCCTGATGAGGCGGCCATCTTTATAGAAATCAGCTGACAGGATGGAGATCTGGTTTCTGCAGCTCAGAGTCACAGATTCTCCGTCTCTCACAGGGAGGAGAGGACTCTCCAGGATCACAGAGCCAGCTGAGAAACAAAGGTTTTAAAGCATGTTCATAACATCTGAAGACACTAGTTCAGAGCCTGTGCAGGATGTGGTCGTGCCGTAGCTTCTTGGGTTTAAAGGTGGGTTGAAGTCCAAGCAGGGCAGACCAGGTTTTTACAGTTTTCTACAGAACTGCTGATCCAAAACGGCTTCAAGCGGGGAAAAAAAAAATCCCTCTGCATAACACACACACACCTGGACAGGAAGTAGATCACTGCACTTCACTAGATAATCCTAACTCAGAAACATACGAACAAAGAAACTTCTGTCATTAAAGTGATTCACATGATTTCTCTGTTTCTGGGCTCTAGATTTGAGTTATCTCTTCTTTGAGCTCTCTCTTACCGTCTTTGTCGTTTAATTAGATAATCTCATACATCTTATTTATATATCTCACCTCTGACAGTCAGCCAGCTCTCTGGTGATTCTCCACCTTCAGAGATGCTGCACTTGTAGAGTCCTTCATCAGATTTATCAACATGTTGGATGGTGATGATTCCTGTATGGCTGCTCCTGATGAGGCGGCCATCTTTATAGAAGTCAGCTGACAGGATGGAGGAAGTGGTCGTCTTGTTTCTGCAGCTCAGAGTCACAGATTCTCCCTCCATCACAGGAAGCACAGGACTCTCCAGGATCACAGAGCCACCTGAACAACATCGGCATCAAACGTTTAGTCTTATCTTGGTTATTTATAATAAAGAATAGGAGATGATTTAGACAGAGGGAAGAAATGTCATCCTGAAAATACAGTGAATGTAAAATATGGTATCATCATACACATACTGAATGAACATATCAGAAATAAACAGAACTACATGATCAATAAATCAGAAATTAGATAGTAACATAGAGTAGTGTACCGTCTACATAGAGATTGATATTGTTTAAAATTCCCTGAGTTGATCATTTAATTGATAAATTCAGTTTTTGTTTCTTTAAAATGTTCAGATACAAAATTGTTTCAACTTTGAAAAAGGTGTTCTGATCCCAACATATTTAAAAAGCTGAGGGTCATTACACTTCCTGCATATTTATGACACACTTGGTCAGAATCGATGTACAAGTAGGTCTTCACATAGAAGGAGTTTCCTTTGGTGTATTATAGTACATGCATAAACACATTACAATACAATACAATGTAAAATAACTACACATATAAAAATAAAACATGTATAATACAAGATATAATATGAGAAACATACCGGCGACGGTGATGTTGACGGAGTTGCTCTTCTCTCCTTTCTCATCCTCACACCAGTAAACTCCACTGTCTGAATCATAGGCTGATTTAATGGTGCAGTTCAGTGTTGATGAAGCAATATTATAACAATCCTTAATTAACTCATTGTTGTTCCTAAACCCTCTCAGAGCAGAGCCAGGACCCTCACAGAGAAAAGAGAAGGGTGTGTATTCAAAGAGCTGCAGTCTCTCTGCAATCATTTGCAAACCTGCGTCTGAAAAACAGAACAATGGAACATCTGATGAGTAAAAATGACTTTAAAAACTATGGTAAAAATCTAAGTAAATGTCTCCGTATCTCTCACACAATGCACGGACACACTGGTATTTCCTATTACCATGAGCATTTGTATCTTTAGTAGCTGCTACCCACCGTTGTTTCGCGTAGAGCTCTTCTGAGTATGAGCACCATACAGAATGAAAACACAGGTCACTATATCAAAATAAAGAAAACTGTAAATCAGCCTCATATGCATTGAATATAAAAGCATAAAGTTGAAAGAAAGCTGAGACTCACGCAGTCGGCTGCAGAGCGCTGTGACCTCCATGATGTCTTCCTGCTGTCTGAGCGTCTCACTGTGAGACACAGAAATATAATGTGAGTGAGAACTTCCTCTTCCTGTGCAGAGTGTTTCTGAGGCTGGGGTCAGACTCTCTGTGGTTTCAGCTCAGAGCTCTAGATGAAACCGTTAACAGTTAACACGAGGCTGAGAACATCATGAAAAAAACACATTACTCACTTTGTGCATGAAGTTATGGTCATGTTGAGACAGCACTACCCAATTTAGAAGCACAGTTCTCTCATGTATATTCTTCCTTTAGCATTCAGATTCACCTTCTTTATTGAAGCTCAAACTGCAGCTGATCAGCTTCCTGCATTGGGTCAATCTAAGGCTGAGACTCTTCAGATCTCTTGAAGCTGAAGCCTCATCACTCCTTATTTAATTGTGGGTACATTTAATTGAATGTGCTCCCGAACACATCATTAGTGATTAGTGTGTTTTGGGTCTTTCAAAAAAAGACCCGCTCACCCAGGCGACAGCGGTTGTTGATCGATCACGACTTGACTTGTTCAGATGATATTCGCTCCTCCCCAAAGACCTTTTTCCTGACCCAGAGCCCTCTTGATTCTTTCTCTGCTGCCTCTGTGATGTTCTTGATGGCTCTCCTCCTCTTCATGTCAGTGATGCCCAGTGCACAAGAGCTTTGTAGAGTGGTTTCCCCACAGTCCGTGTACAACACAACCTTTCTGGCCCGAGTGACATTGAACTCCTCAAGCAGGGACTTCAGGTGCAGCTGGTGCTCCTGGTTTCCTGGACTCATGTGTTATCCATTAAATGCAGAGACGGAACCTGTCCATGACTTTTCCCATCTTCAACACCAGTGACCCTAACCTTCCAGGTTCAAACCTTCTGTTTCCCCAGGCAATCAGTTCCTATTCCTGACAGGGATCACATGCTTCCATGCACTGAGATGGTGGTGACAGTCAGCCCATCCATGAAGGCCCTGATTGGTGGTTGGAGTATCCCTGACATGGACGAGGGTTCTCCAGTCATTGCAGCTCAGTCAAGAGGGACGTTGCTCACCACTGGCCTCTCTGATGTGCTTCTTTAGGGACTCCTGTTGGATCTTGTGGATCTTTGCGGCTCTTTTGTTCATGCTTGGCTCTGCTCCAAACCTTTCCTCAGATAGATTGACAACGATTGTTGTCTACTATCAAAATCTGCCTTAGCAGTTGCTACTAGCACCTCGTCAACGTCCTCGTCAAAACTCATGCCAGACTGTTGTCTTGCAGGCCTGTGCCGATTGAACTCCAACACTGTAAAGGAGTCTGTTGTGTGGAACTTCATGGGGTTCCTGGTCCTGGTTCTTCCTGTGTCTCACCAGGAAAGATCCTCTGTGTTGTGCCCCTTCCTCTCCTTCAAACACTTCTTCTGGATCTGGTTGAACCTTTAGGCCTCAGCTGTTCTTGCAGACCTTCCTGCATCTGCATTTCATACTCAGGACGGTTCGTTCATTGCCTTTAGTCGTTAGCCTTTGGTCTGTCAGGTTGGGGTGACCTGAGAAAACCTGAGATATCCTGCCCCTGCAGTAAAAGATCAGGCCTCTCATCCTTCATCATTGAACATTTGCTTTTCAACTGAACACATTTTATTGCAATGTATTAATATATAACCTGGCAAGTGAGCGCAAAGTCCAGATGTTTATGAACGGAGGCTCAAAGTGAAACTCAGACAACAATATGGTGAATACACATGGACTCAAATTTAATGTATTATACTGCATTTGCAAAACATGTCTCTTGCTGAGACAGTTGCACTTTAAAAAAAAAAGAATATCAAAATGTTGGGTGCTAAGAACTTTGATTGAAGAAATGAGGTGGTACTGCAAGAGCCTGTTAATGATTTACAGACGTTGTCCTCGCAGTCAGTCGAAGAGACGGAGACAAGCAGCACCCAACAGGTACGTGGTCGTCGCCTAACATTTAAAACACAAGATGAAAAGATTGGTACACTTTTTTTTGAAAGTGGGTCTGCATTATGAGTTTCGGTCAACCACAACTTTAGAGAAGAACAGATACAACATTTTATTTTGTGTCAGAGTGAAAACGTTGTGCAGATTCAAACTGCATTTCAACTGTACGTTGATTACAATTGCATTGATTTATAATTTCTACAGTATTACAATTGTTGAATTGAACCCTAACCCACATTTACAGATAGACTGTTAGTCTTAACAATAAAATGAACAGGTGTAGTCTTTTTAATGTGTAATTATTGGTAGAGCACAGAAGATGGCAGCAAAGTTTTCTTTTCATTTATTGGAGCTTCCAGCACGAGTACTGTTCAAACGATTATAACTCATGCCTTTAGTTTCACTTCTCTCTTTTCCCTGGAAGTTAACACAGCTTTTATCTGTTTTCTGTTCTTTTCCAGCGCTCCATGATGCTTCTCCACACAGATGGAAAACACCTTCAAACTCATCTCAGAACTCTCAGTGTTTTGGTTTTCCATCTTCTCCTAACACACTACTGTAGAGGTAAGTGACTGAATAAGAAGTCACTATAATGTCACTAATAACTCAATACTATGTGGTGACTATTAGGGCAACCATCATTTCTGTCTGGCTCTACTTTCTACTGTCACATATTGCTCTCTTATTATTTAATAAGTCTTAAGAAGAAACTTGTTTAATTGGAGGAGATCAAATGTACGTCCTTTACCTTCTCAGGTCAGTCTCAGCTGATTGGCTCCTCTCAGCCAATAGTAGCAAACCTTGGTGAAGACATCATTTTGCCGTGTTATCTGGAGCTGGGGGTAAATGCTGCCAAAATGACGTTTGAGTGGACGAGGCCCGACCCGAACCCAGATTCGTTCATGTTTGGCACACTGGTCAGACACTAAAGGATAAAAGAAACAACATGTTTGAGGGAAGAACCTCACTGTTCACCGATGAGCTGAAGAACGGAAACATTTCTCTGAAACTCTCCAACGTACAACTCTCCGATCAGGGGAAATACAGATGTTTCATTCCAGAACTGGGCCGGCAAACGTTTGTCCAACTGGTTGTTGGTAAGTTCATGTGGGCATGTTTTGAGTCTTTATCTTGAGAAGAGAATTGTAGTTATGTCTCCTTCTTTGGAGAAACTCTGACAATAAAACACTTAACTTTGTTCACCTTTAAAAATGTCCCCTTAACACATTTCATGTGCATTTTGATTTGTATTGCAGGTGATGAGAGACAAAACATTATCTTTCTAGGATATTTTTAGAAAATGTAAAACATTTTGATGATTGTTTTGGTGCAATTATGAGCTTTCTGTTCTCTTCCACTTCTCCCTTAAGCTCAACCTCAGGTGCTGTTTTCAGCTCGCTTGTACATTTAACAAAGATCCAAACTAAATCCTTTTTATCCTAATCAGCTTAAATAAGTGCAATCACCCTCGAGGATACAAAGAACAGCAAGTATTCTGCAAGTGCATTAGCTTCAAATCAGACAAACCATAGTAAGTGCTAGAAAAAGAAAAGAGTTGATGAGAACTTTTTTTAAAGTTAGATGTTATTGTCTAAGAAGCAGAGGAAACAGGTGGGTTTTCAGTGAGCGACAGGAGAAGTGTAGACTTTCAGTTGTCCTGATATCAATGGGGAGCTTGTTCAACCATTTTGGAGCTGGGTTAGCAAACAGGTGTTTTTATTGAGGGGTGCCTCGGTCCCACTCGCTATGAGGGAGTAGCCAGCCCACTCTTACGTTAGTATGTGGGTAGAAATACAACTAATTTACTGAATAATTCTTACACTTCCTGCTTTGTTTTCAGCATCCAGTCCTTCCTCTCCGCCTCTCATCAGTTTATCAGGGCTGGACGGTCAGAGTGGAGGAGTGGTGTTGCAGTGTGAGTCTGCAGGCTGGTATCCGGAGCCTGAGGTGTTGTGGCTGGACGCTGAGGGAAAGCTCCTCTCTGCTGGACCTCCAGAGACAGTCAGAGGTCCTGATGACCTCTATACTGTCAGCAGCAGAGTGACTGTGGAGAAGAGACCCAGCAGCAGCTTCACCTGCAGAGTCCAGCACCACAACACCACCCGCACCACTCAGACACACTTCAGCATTTCAGGTAGACAACATGTTACATGATGTCAACAAGAGATAAAAGTTTGCAATGATTCTGTCTCACATGTTTTCTCTTTTTTTTTTTCAGATGATTTCTCCATGGTTCCCATGCAGTTATTCTGCTTATATTGCTGTTAGCGTGTTGTTTGGATTCCTGTTTGTTCTCACTGTCGTCCTTTTTGTCTGGAAATGGAGAAAAAACATTGGTGGGCAAAAAAGATATATTATGTTATATATACGGCATTAAGCTTGTGATATTATAACATACATGTTAAATATATGTCTATTTTATTTCTCAAAGAGACAAAGAGATATCATACAGATGAAGCTGATAAAGAAACAAATAAGAACCTTTCTAAAGCTGAAGATCAGTGTGTCACTGAAGAAGAAAGAGGACCGCTGATGACACCTGAAACTGTGCAAATTGTTAAAGTAAGTGAATAAGCAGAAACTCTCTAAAGAAACACTCAACTAAACTGAAAATGAGTTTGTCTCTGAAGAAGAAAGAGGAAAAGAATAGCGAGAGATGAAATAATGCAAAAGGAGGTTTTAAAGGAAACAGTGAAGAGCAAACATCTAAGTGAGGAATGACACTACCTTTAGGAAAGGTAAAGAACATCTGAACATCAAGATACAGGATCTGCCAGAAATGCAATGACAGCAAGTTTTTGTTTGGTGTCTTCATTAAAAGTCACTTCTTATAATGTGTCTCTCTGCCTCTCTTTCAAATCTGAGCAGCAGCTCTTTGAGGAGCAGAAGAGGGAGGAAGCTGAGAAGAAAGTCCAGACCCTGAAAGAGGAGCTGGAGACCAAGAAGAGAGAGGTTTATTTTCATTGAAATGTTTAATAAATATGTGTCCCTCCTCCTCGTTAGGTTCTTAATTTTCCTGCTGTTCTTTCAGGTTGAATCTAAACAGTCTGAGCTTCAGGATCTCCATGCAGAGAAACAGAGGAACGAGAAGGACCTGCAGATCCTGAAGGAAGATCTGGAGAACAAGAAGAGAGAGGTTCATGTCTTCATCTTTTCCTTATGTATTTATTGTGAAACAGAAAAACATTAAAAAGAGTGCATGACCCCGACTGGACACCAACACACTGATGGTATAAGATCAGCTCCCTTGCTCTGTAAGATCATGCTCAGACAATCAGCACGTTTACTTTATTACATTCCCTTCATCTCACATGTATCATAGCGAGCCATCTAACTCTATATTTATGTTTGTATATTTATCACTGCTTTAATGTTAAATCGTTGTACTCATGTGTCTCTTTGTGTGCTCCCCCTGTTCCCAGGTAGCTGGTAAGTGATTGAAGTAATTAAAAAAAAAAGATATATGGATTTATTATCTTTTATCTATATGTAAAATAAACAAGGGATACTAATATACAAGATAACAGCAACAGCCAAAGCAAGTCCAATATGTTCATTTAGAAAGCTGTTAGATTATTCAGAGATAATTAGACTTCAGAAGAAGAGCATCACAGAATCTGAATATGTACATTCATTCATGAGAATGTCTGTTATATGAAGAGCTGAGGTTTCTCACTTTTTATTCTGCAATGAATAATTTTGTTGCGAGACAAGGAGTAACATGTTTTAATGTAATCCAGGATCCTAGATCTAAAGTAATGAGGAGGAAGAAAGCTCAGCAGGAAGTGGAGACACTGAAGAAGAAGCTGGAGACCCAACAGGAGACAACAGACACCAACATCAGAGAGGTTTCTGTTTGATATTCTACCAGGAGAGTTTCAGCTGGCTTCTTGTTTGTTTTCAGTTTAACTTTCTGTCTGGGTTAAAGTCAACTAGTCAAGTAAAGTAATATCAAATATATATTTAAATATGCATTAATAATAAAAACATGTCACCTTTCCTGTCTTTCCTCTCAGTTTGAAGTGAAGGAAGCTGAAGTCCAGCGGCTCCAGGAGGAGATTCAGAGGATGGAGACCCTGATGGAGTCAAACAACATGGAGGTTCAACTAGCTCCATGAACACTGATGCATATTCTGTATTAAGATTTCTAGTCTAGTTTTAGTAAGAAGGAACCTGTGAAAGTGTGAGTGTCCTGGTTCATTCAAGAAGTAAATCATAAATGATTCTGCTGAATTCTCATTCCTAATATCTTGTGACCCATTTAAGACTTTAAGTGTTGAATAAATGAGACCTGAAAGCTGCCCTTTGGAGCTTTCTTTCAAACAAAGTCAAGTTGTGATCAGTTCAGTGCACTAATCACCGCCTTGAAGTCAAACGTAGGAGTCAAGCACTGGTTACCCATGTTTGCTAGCTTGCACCATCTTCCCTGTGTAGTTTGCACGCTGACCAAAGGAAAACATATCCATGGAGGTCAGCAAAGTGTTTTTATTTATTTATTTAAATTATAACTACAATCCGAAAAAACAGGGGAAGCCTGGCTTCCCTTGGCCTCCGGGAGAAAACGCCACTGATGGAGGTGAAGATCTACAACTCTAGGGAACCGGTTCATCTTTATTGAATCTTCTGTGTGTTTATTTGTCCCACAGGAACACACAAAGAAAGATGTAGAACCTGACACTTCTCACTCTAAGGAGCCAAACCAGACCAGCTGTTACACTCAGGATTCACATTCAGGATTTATCATTGAGGTCCACACACGCCAATCTTTCTGTCTGAAAAACACGTTCCACGAGGTAACGGTAATCTTGTGAATAACTTTAGGTATATGTAGAACAGTAACTCAACCCTAACCCAATGAGCGGTTCAAACTAAGAGAATGACCTGTTGATTACCCAAGAATCCATGTTGTCTTGTTTTAATGTAATTTATAAACACAGTGAATTTAACTTCAACATTATAACATTAATAACTTAGTTATTCTGTTTCTCGCCCTCCCTATGTACCTCCTGCAGGACCAACAGCTGGGAGGTTGGGAGTTAAAACTGCAGATGAACAAGACAACACCCTTCACGTACACATTTGAGGACTCTTTCAAACTCAACACTGGAGGAGATGTCACTGTGAGTTTCAACTTTTGCATCTTTAAAAAATAAAAACAATAATAATATAGGATGTAAAGGCTTGAACAGCTACAGTGAAGTTGTTGTGCATCCTCCACCTAAATACGATAAACCTCTACACTCTAATTAAGACATGAAATAAATAAAATAGTACATTCAAATAGTTCCAGTGACATATTGGTGCAGAACATGCACGATTTAAATAATACATGACTTAATGATTGTTCTTGTCTGTGACCTTTTTATTTTACAGATAACATGTAAAAATCCCAGAGACAATCCTGCTGACCTGGTGTGGGAGGATCTGCAGTTCTGGAATCCTGGAGACAAACTGCAGTTTTCCCTCAGCAGCAACACTGGAGAGGACCAACACATCGTAGTTAAAAATCTATTATCCAAAGATAAAAACTAACCTCTTTTGTTCTGCTCTCATATTGTTTTCCTTCAGTTGATCATACCCTGCTTTCATCAAAGGTTGCAAATAAACTCCTTCACAGTATATAACGTGAAAAGTAAATGCATTGAATTGCAAAGTCTATACTCCTGGAGAAGTCGGTGCTTTATCAGCAACAGGAAGTCATGAGAGAAAGATAACATATAAACATTGAGGAACAGCATGACTCAGAGATCACATTGTATATGGTATAGATATAAAACCCACTTTACTTTTATCATTCTGGTATATTACACTTTTCAAAACATATTTATTGGTGAACAGATCTGCCTTTCTCAAACCACTGCTTTTATATTTCACTGAACATCAGTTGTAGGCATTACATGATTAAGAAATCTCAAATATGGAACTCATATAAAGACAACATGTTAAATAAATACATTTAAATATGTGAGCTAATGCAAATTAGCTCACGTTTTGTAATTGTCTCAAGAACTGTTATTTTGCATGATTACTGGATTTGAAATATATATTTTTTATATCAATGTTTTCTGTAAACATATTATCCACTACTCCTTTTTCTGTAATCAAGATAATGAACAGTTTTAAATAAGGTTTTATTTTTAAATATGCTCGTGTAACGTTTGGATGATATTTGCTTTTAGAAATACGAGTTCAAAATGTGTTTCTTTTTTATATTTCCTGTGATTTGCAACTTCAGTTGATAGATAAATGTTTGTTTTTGTGATACGTGCACGTTCTTTGATAAGTTCAAACTAAATCAGGTGTGACAACTACATTTTTTTACTTACATGTTTAAATAAACACTTAAAATAAGTTTGTATTTTCTGCTCAAATATCACTTTTGTCAGTCGTACAGCACTCAGATCTTATACTTGAGTAAAAGTAGAAGTACTCAGATCTTGTACTCGAGTAAAAGTAGAAGTACTCAGATCTTATACTTGAGTAAAAGTAGAAGTAGTCAGATCTTGTACTTGAGTAAAAGTAGAAGTAGTCAGATCTTGTACTTGAGTGAAAGTAGAAGTACCAGAGTGTAGGAATACTCTGTTAGATAGATAGAATGGGAGGGATGAACCACTCTTTAATGGTCACACATGCAGAGCACACAGCACACAGTGAAATGTGGCCTCTGCATTTAACCCATCCTAGTACTAGTGGGCAGCTATTGGACAGCGCCCAGGGAGCAATGGGAGTGAGGGAGGAAGGGGGATGCCCGGTGCCTTGCTCAAGGGCACCACGGTGTGGCCAACATAGCACAGTCCAAGTATCAGCTCCCTGTGGGAAGGAATCATCGAGATATGCCCGTGTCCCTGTACCAACATTACAGGGTCCTCAAGACAGCTAAGTATTTCACATTGTCCAATTGTCTCCATTTTCACACCAATTAATTAGAGGGTGGCCAACATAGCACAGTCCTTAGCAAGCTAGCTGGATGGGCTCCAAAAAAACCGTTTATGTTTTTGTATCACTGAAGCTTATGAAATTGTTTTTAGTTCTATTATTAAATGATAAAATAAGATTTTTTTTTATCATTTTTGTTATGATATCTAATTATCTGCAGTGTTTTAGTAAACTGACTATTCAGGAGACAGAGTTGCTGATCATGTAACCTTCCTTTGAATATTACATATTAACCAATAAACCTACTTCATTTTTTTTGGAAACATGCTTTCAGGTATAATAACTACATTTTGATGTAAAGCCTCACAGATTTCAGCTGAATAAAAAATGGATGCAGTGTATTCCTCCCTCTGTCCACCAGATGTCTCCACACTCTCAGAGTCATGTTGAACTCCTCACTTCTCAGAGTGCAGTCACATGACCTGGTTCACCTGCTCACCTGTTTCCACTTCCCCTCATCAGCCTGCAGAGTATAAGTATCCTGCAGCCTCTGGGTGTCTTTAAGCTTTTTATAATCAAACACTGAAATGCAACTAGCTTGTTTGCATGTGGGTCATTTCCCTTAGCAGCCACCGACAGATAGTGAACTTTCAGCAGACTTTTCTCCAACATGGGGGCCACTGTTCTTGCTCTTGTAGCTTTAGCCCCTCGTTACTGTTTCAGCTTCTTCTTCTTTCACTTTCAGAATAAAAACCACACGAGGAACCCACAGACAGAAACAGGTAGACGGGCCCCTCAGCTCACGCGCAGCCAGCGTCTGAAAACCACCCGGCAAACACATGCAGTAAAACTATTTGTATCTGGACACCGAGTTCTTTAAGGTAGCCTGATGTACCGTGTGGTTAAGTGAAGGGCTGATCAAGGTTGTGTTATTAACAAAGGGTCTGCTGATCACAAGACTCATGCATTAGTACATATGGGCATTTCTTTCTCATGTAGTTCTACAATCACCTCCATAACAGATGAAAGTAATAGAGGCGGCAGTTTGTTAAATATTATTATTTAAGTATGTGAATTAAATTCAAATGAAAGATTTTACTTTAATATGCAGGTCTATTGGAGATGTTGCTTTATTCTGACCAAATCACACAAAGGACCAGGTCATTGACCAGATGTTATTTATGTTAAAATCAACTTTTCAAACGGCCTTTTAATTATATTGTTAATATTATTGTTATTATGAATAAACACATATATTGAGTGGGTATCACGTGCATAAGAAGGATTTAAAACCAAACCAAAACTGACAATTATGTTTCTCGGGGGAATTTGCCAATAAAGATGTGGCAATAATTGAGCCTTGTGGTACTCCATATTTGAAAGAACGCATCATAACAATGTTTAATTCTGTGTCAGTAGTTGTGTATTTAAAATGTATTTTTCCGTCATGTCATTTTGCTTTTTGTTTGTCTGTTTTAAACATCAAGACGTAAAGTTGTCTTTCTCACGTGTGAGTTTTTGGCCTCAGCCTCTAATATTAACCCCACCACTGACACGTATTTCCTTCCATGACACGCGTCTGAGCTACAAGGCGTTTCATTAGTGAGCCACACAGGAAGAGACCACCCCTCTTCTTCTTTTTACATTTCAGTGTGAGGTTCACTCAGTCAGCAGCCAGACGCCATGGAGGCCACAGCGCTCTGCATCACACTGTGTGAGTACTGAGTCCTTATCTGATGTTTTTCATATAAAAGATGTTACTAGATCATATTAGCTAAAGGAACATATGGAGGTAGATTTGTGTCAATATTATTTGTGTGAACAGATCACTAACCCGTGTGTAAATGTAAAAAAAAGTCTACGCATGTCACTGCCATTTTGGGACGATGACGGGGTTTCAAGCATTTTTAGATGCAATCTGAAAAGTAATTGCTGCTTGACGTGCATTTTATAAATTCTTTACACATTTTCCATTCATATTTTTGTGATTTTACAAATCCTTTTGGGAATTTGTGGATGTTTTTGTACATTTACACACGGGTTGTTGATCTGTCCAAACACATGATATTGAGACAAATCTACCTCCATATGAATATATACAAATGATTAACATTTTAAGATTATTCAAATGTTTTAATTCATGACAAGACGTTATTTTAATGCAGAGGATCTTCTAGGTGAGATCTCTTATAAAATAACTTGTATTTATTTTATGTTTATTATTAAATATTTAAATATATGTATAATAAAGAAGAGCACATATAGATGATATTACTTATTGCTGCTGCATGGCCATTTGCACTATTCTCTTTTGTGCATTTTGTTTTAATGGTGAGTTGTTTTAAAAGTATTATGTATCAAAGATACATTTAAACAATAAAGTCAAGGTAATAAAATCTAATATAAGAAATCTATGTGATGTTTGGCTCTTTTGTCTCTGCAGGGATGACGGTGTTTCTGCAGCTCTGTGAACAGAAAGCTGGTAAGAAGCTTGTTTACCAAAAAGAAAGCAGAAAAAAAATGCAACAAAACAAAAATAAAGGTCATACCTTTATTTAAAGTGCTATATGTTAATCTCAACAACACATTTATTTTTCTGTGTCAGATACAGATGTTTGGATCGAACCATCCAGACTTCAAGTCTTTGAATACGATCCTGTCTCTTTAAGATGTGTGGGCTTCGATGGTTTGACTGATGTGAACATTTTACGGTGGAGCAAAGCAGGAAAGGAAACTTGTGATGGCTCAAAATGGGGCTCATTGAATGAGAATAAATGCACCATTAAATCTCCTTATAAAGAGGACAGTGGAGATTACTGGTGTGAGGCTGGAGGGAAGAAAAGCGTCTATGTGGACGTCATTATCACCGGTATGTTGACATTAACTCAGCAACACTCTCTTTCTGTGTGTATTTATGAAATATTCAACACAAAGACAAGTTCCCTGTATGTGGAAAACAACTTAGCAATAAACCTGATTCTATACAATGTTTGTTAGAAGAACATAAAAAGTGCAATGATGCTAAGGTTATACTATATACTATATAATAAACATATACTTTTTAAGCACGAAATATTTGTATATCTTAATATTGTTAAGAAAGAACAGAATTCATGAAGAAAATGCAATGAAAGCAAACAGCGTGCACAAAGCTGAGCGTAGTCATTAAGTATAGCCTACTATAGCCTACTATAACAGATATGTTTCAAGTTGTTTCAAATCTAAACCAAATTGTGGTTTTCTTCTGTCTCTGATGTCATTTTAATATTGTCTACAAATATTATATAAATAACACACTCAACGTTCAATGCTGCAACGATATCCAAAAAAGTGTCATATTATGAACCTCTATGCAGACGATACACTGCAATACACAACTATTTAATTTCTGATTTATTCATCTATGTGTTCAGTTTATTTCTGATATTTTCAATCATTCTGTAACATGTTGCAACCTGACTTTACATCACAGTATCTTCACAATGCCTTCGTCTAAATAAAAAAAAGATATTGTAAATAACTTCTTCTACAAAACTCAAACTGAATGTTTGATCCCGATGTTGTTCAGGTGGCTCTGTGATCCTGGAGAGTCCTGTGCTTCCTGTGATGGAGGGAGAATCTGTGACTCTGAGCTGCAGAAACAAGACGACCACTTCCTCCATCCTGTCAGCTGACTTCTATAAAGATGGCCGCCTCATCAGGACCAGCTCTACAGAGAACATGACCATCCACAAGGTTTCTAAATCTGATGAAGGACTCTACAAGTGCAGCATCTCTGAAGGTGGAGAATCACCAGAGAGCTGGCTGACTGTCAGAGGTGAGATAATGCATTATATCTAACATTTGGGGAATATATGTGGAGTTTCTGGATTATATATATATATTCACGTTGTGTTGTGTTTGCAGCTGTTCCCTCCTCGGATCACTCCCTTCACGTCCTCCTCGTCTTAAGGACTGTGTTCACCATAGTGATGGTCGCTCTGCTGCTGCTGCTGGTGGGACTGCTGCATTGTGGGAAACTCAGGGTCACACAGAAATAACTAATGTAAAAAGGTTAGAGTTTGGTCATCAAGATAATGAACACCACGAGCCGAGGACATTATCACTTTCTTCAGCGTTGGATCTCTTCTTTTGCTCAGGTTGAGTGTGAGGTGTGTAACTTCTCTGTGTCACATGATGGTACGAGCAGCAGCTGTTAGACTTTCTCACACTCAAGACAAAGTTAAAAACCACAGAGGTACTGACTGACACATGCATTTATTTTAGAAGGCGAGCTGAGGGTTTGTTGTTCTGAGTTTTATTTTAGACTCCAGATACTTTCAGCTTCTCAGACACAACCCACAGAACATATTTGTATGTACAGTAAATGTAGGTGGAAGAGGCTTTGTAGAAACAGCAAAACGTTTATGGTTATATTGGGTTGCTGAAAGGGTCAACAACTCACAAATCAATTTACAAATACAAAATGGTATTTTTAATATATAGTTAATTTAACTGACGGGACATATATACAGAAACATATTTGGAAGTTGGTATTTCCAAAAGAAATATCAAAACTGTAAATCAGCATCTGAACTTTTCAATTTAAAATACAATTTAAAATTCATTATATCTTCATAGCAGAACATATAGTGCTGTATTATAGTTTTAACGTACACAATGACAACAATACACGATTCATAAGATCTGTAATGATCGTATATACATTTCAAATCCAGTAAACTCAAAACCTTTTATTTTTTTAATTTCCATATTCTCGCCTTTCATAAGAATGTTTTGACTGAAGAAAAGTATATTTTTATAACAATATATAAAATAAAGATATGTTCACCACATTTTAAGAAAAATGTGTTTTGAATGGTTGAATATTCCAGAATAATAAAAGTAAAATGTTTCATTGAGCATCACTACTGTCCTGCTGTTCCTGATGTATATTGTTTATAATGTGTGTAATGTGATAACTTCTCTTATGACTCTTTCCTGTTGGTGATAAATCTGCTCAGACGTTACACATCTTTTTCACGAGGCAGCGGACAAGAGCATCAAAAGACGCAAATCTACATTTGTTGCTATGTAGATGATGAGCAGGAGTTTATTTGCAACTTTTAATAAAAGCAGTGTAAGATCAGCTAAAGGAAAATAATATGAGCAGAAAAGAAGGGGTTAGTTATTGTCTTTCAGTGGATTTTATACAGATTCGATGATGTATCACACCCTTGTCGCTGTAGAGGGTGAACCACAGCATGTCTCCAGAGCTCCAGGGCTTCCACACCAGGTCAGTGGGAGGATAACTGAGTTCACACATGTGTACCCAGATCTGTAAAATACAAGTTCACACTCATCAGACGGAATAAATTACTATTTGTTTTTACACTTGGAATGTTTTAATATAGAGGGAAAATCTTGCAACAATATTGGGCGTATGTTAATGGATGACATGAAAACAAGAGAGAGAAAAGTACATTTAGATTTTGTTCACACTTAAAGTACTTATACAGAGGTCCAGTGGTGGCTGGTGGAAAATATTTTAGGTGGGGCTGTGGAAATGGTGACCAAACAATACTAGGGGGGTCCGGGGGGATGCTCCCCCGTTAATTTTTTTTGAGAAAAGACCCCCTAAATTATGACTTCTGGTGATGTTAGAGGGGGGGGGGGAAGGACAATTTGAGGCTTAAAAATATGAGAAGACTGATCAATACCTCCATAATCTTCAGTGTGGTTAGCTATGAATCTTCCAAAACTTCCAAACACCTTGTCCTGGACATAGTTTCTACAGCATAAACTGTGCAACAGTACAGTAGGCCCACACAAACTGCAGAACACCGGGCTTTGGGAACACTCAAAACTGATTTAATTCCCATTTAACCTGTTAAGGGGCTTTTTCCCCCCGTTTTTTTTCTCACGAAACTGTGTCTCAGGGCTTCTTAAAATGTAATAAACTATTCATGTGTCCTACTCAGAGGAAACGCAGCTAACTGATGATATGAACCATGTTTACCGAAACAAAACACAAGTCTCACAAGAAGCGTCTAAATGAGCCCTGAGCGGAAAAATGCTAACGCACTCTAGGTATAAATCAATCTATATACTTATCGGATATGCACAAACAAGCTTATGCTAACAAGCTGAGATTCCACAGATTCTAGAAATATAAGTATCATCACTGAGCGATCAGAACTCGCGACAGGGGAAGCAAATACAGACATCACACGACGTAGCTTTAGGTAGCAAAACACGGAGATATGCTCACCTTTTGCAGAATAACAATTCTGATCAAAAACGAGAAAAACGCAGCTGAAGGTTAATCCATAGGTTAATCCAATGTGTCTGTCACTTTGAAAAATGATTGATGATCCATAATTCCATTTTTATGTCAAAAACTGAGTTTTCATTAGCTGCTAATGGTAGCTTCCAGAGTGTAGGACAGCTTCCTGTTTTGTCTCCTTGGATACGAGTCCAAACAACTCACAGACTGCACCGGGCACTGACGTAGGAGCCCTGTGACCATCAGATTTGACGACGCTGATTGACTGAAATTATGTTTCGGCGGCATAGTTTAAAGATAGCAACAGTTGGCTTCTGCTGCACTTGCTGCCCTCTCGTCTGGGCGCTGTGCATAGCGCCCACACGAGAGAGGGTAATGATACACGGGAGAGGCCAGGCAGGAAACATGTGACTTATCAGTAACTTTAGACATCGTAACACAATTTTAAACGAGATTTTATTGTAGATTATACATTTTACTGATACCAATTATATAATATTTACCTTGTTTATTAAAAATAAAAATAAAAATAAAAAATAATAATTCAGTGGAAGTGTCTATGAGACGGATATATTCGTGGTCACGATGTCGGTGTGTGTGTGTGTGTGTGTGTTTTAATGCTTATGGATTATCAGAAATCATTTCAAAGTGACACAGACACATTGGATTAACCTATGGATTAACTTCAGCAGCGTTTTTATCGTTTTAATGCCATTGAAGACCACTGTGTGTGTGTGTGTGTGTGTGTGTGTGTGTGTGTGTGTGTGTGTGTGTGTGTGTGTGTGTGTGTGTGTGTGTGTGTGTGTGGCCTAGCATTACTATCCTTGTGGGAACCTACATCTGTTTACACAGTCACGTGTGGGGACTGGCTTCCCTTATGGGGACAAAATGGTGGTCCCCATAAGGGGAATCATTAATTTTAGGGTGAAGACTTGGTTAGGGCTAGGGTAAGGGTTAGGGTAAGGGTAAGGGTTAGGGTTAGGCATGTGTTGGTTATGGTTAAGGTTAGGATAAGTCTCCAGGAAATGAATGTAAGTCAATGTAATGTCCCCTGAAGTGATGTATACATGGTATGTGTGTGTGTGTGTTTGAGCCTTGCTCTCCACCTCTTCCTTTAGGTCCTTCAGTTCTATCGGTGACAGGGGATAGGCACAGGCACATGTTTCATATATTTGTTAATTAGCACTGTTGAGATGTCAATTGAAGTCGTTGAGATTGATTGATTGAAGTTGTTGCATAAAGGAGGGGTTTGAGGGTGAGTTTGATGAAGGCCGTTTCCTCCCTATGGGCCAGGTAAATATCAGCATATGCCGGAGCTTACTTACGGCCCATAGCACAGCCGCACAGTTGTAGGTAATGGTTACTGTGAAATACAAAATCATTCCGGGTGAGGGTGAGGTGGAGTAACTGGATGATGTGACTGTCGGGTCTGGCTGGGTTGGGGTATTTATTGAAGGTGTGTTGAAGGGCAGAGAGGCCAAGTGGAGTTTCTATGTTGTTGTATAATGAGTCTACATCTAAAGAAAATAGAAGGGTGTGACTGGGAATGGGGAGGTTTTTTATTTTATTTACAAAATGATAGGTGTCCTGGATGTAGCTGGGGTGGAGTTTGGAGAGGGGATTCATGAAGTGATCTATGTATTCTGTGATGTTGTAGGTTTCAGACCGGCAGTCACTGACGATGGGGCGGCCGACAGGAACCACAGAGGGGACCATCCAAGTCTCCACAGGCTTGTGGATCTTGAGGAGCAGGTAGAAGAGGCGGGGCCTGGGCTCCTCCGGACCATCCAGATATTTAGTTTGTATTTTGTTGATGGATTTGTTTCTGTATAGTGTTTCTGTAATGTTCCTAACTAGTGTTTGTGTTTCTGATTGTAGTGAGTGTGTCAGTGGTCTGTAATATGTGTTGTTATGTAATTGTCTATGTGCTTCTAGTATGTATAATTGTCCCTGTCCTTTATGACTATTTGGCCCCCCTTGTCTGCTGGTTAAATGACTATGTGTTGGCTGTTACCTAATGTTTTAATAATATTTCCTTCCAGTACCTGGGCAACATCTCAGCCGTCTGGGTGGTCCAGTGTATATCTTCGTTATTGACTCTAAAGAGAAGTGGGTTCATTTCCGGTATGAAGTTATATTTCAGGGCTTTGGTGTCGTGATAGCTGTCAGTAGAGTCTGCTGTTGAGGGTTAAGTTGGTCTGAAAAGTTGATGATGGGGATGTATATGGTGGCATTGGGGAAGGTGGTGGTGGTTTGCTTCCACGTTGCCTGCAGTTGTTTGGTAGAAGTCGTTAGTGAAGTCTCCGAAAGTCCGTTATTGAGTCCTATTGAAATGATGACCTGTGTAGTGTTATGGCAGGGGGAGAGTTTGTTGAGAATGGCTGTGAAACTATCAATCTCCAGGTTTGGGTGTGAGAAACTGGGGATGCGGGAGAGGTTGGAGTCACCTAGGATGATGGTCTTCTTCCGTGTCACCAACGACCATGCCTGTAGTTTCCGGGGAAGTCTGGGGTGTCTGTGTGGTTGTTTGAGCTCCGGGGAACCAGGTGCTGGCGCAGAGACCCTGGTAGGTTGAGAGGTGGATGCCTCAGATGTTGGGCTTGAGGTCATTCTGACTTCCATAGAGCCCTTTATTATCATTGATGTAGAGTTAACATCCACCTCAATGCTCTTGGTGGCTTCACAGGGCTCTGCGACAAACAACTCTGGCTCCCTCTGCTGGTGGTGTGGTGGATCTGAGGGTGAAAGGGATGAAATGGTGTTACTGCATGGCAGAGCGACATTGCTGAAAAGCCGTGTCTGCTCTGAGAGGTTGTCGGGAGGCTGGGGAGTGGGTGAGGAGGGAGGAGAGGGAAGAGGGGGTGAGGAGGGAGGGGAAACGGAGGGGCAGGCCAAGGATCCGGCCCGGGTTCTCCCCAAATGGTCAAGCACCCTCTGGGAGAGTGGATGGATCTCTACCTGTACTCGCCGTCTGGGGTTACGCTGAGGTAGTGGGGTCCGAGTCACTTCTCCGGGCCCCCCCGCCTCATCCCTCCCCACGGACGTACAGAGGCTTGAGGGAGTGGATAGTGCAATGGGAGGAGAGGAGGGGAAAGGAGAGGTAGGAAGGGAAGAGAGGGGAAGGGGTGGTTTAGGGTTAGGCAAGGGGGAGACAGGAGACGAGAGGAAGGAGGGAGGTTAGGGTTAGGAGAGTGAAGCAGTGGGATGGTAGGTAAAGGAAGGGGAGTAGGAAGGAGGGGGGAGGTCGGAGTAGGGAGGAGAGGCAGGTGAGGAGAGTGGTGGTAAGGGTTAGGAAGGCTGCCTGATGGTTGGGGTAGAGGAGGGAAGTCCAGGGAGGAGAGCCTGGCCGGTGGAGACCCCCCCTCCGTTGAGGGGCCCCTGGTAATGAGGTCCCTCAAGGTTGAAAGGGAGGAGAGGGTGAGTCTCCGTCCGTACCTGACCCGCCCCCATTGGACAGCTTTGTCAGCAGCTTCCTGGTGGAATAGGGGGCAGTTCTCCAACTCCACAGCAATGACTTGGTCGTACTGTGTTTGTAGTATTATCATGTTGTGCATCCAAGTGTCTGTGTTGAGTTTGACTTTATGAAATGTATTGTCATTAGGTGAAGAGGGTTTGATGAAAGCTGTTAGCCGGTTGACTTTGGTCATCATTCCCTGTGGAAAGGTGCCTTTGCTGAGTGTGTTATTGAGGATTTCTGCGTGATGAATGGCCTGTCATAATCTGAAGTATCTCTTTGTTTGTAGGTGGAGTTGTGGTGTGTGTCGCTGTGTTGGATGGGTGTTAGCCCCTAGGGGGAGAGCAGCGGGAGGGTTACTTTTACAACTCTGCTGCCTCCCCCCTCTAGGGGCTTGAGTCAGTGCTGTGTATCTGTTAGTGCTATACTCATGATGCTGCGGAGTCAGAGAATCTGTGGAAGGGAATCCCAGCTGATTCCTGCAACCACAGGGCGGAGAGTGTGTACGCCCGGCGGGAGGCACAGGAGGAGGGCCCAGGTGGCGTAAAAACAATGGCGGCAATGGGACACTCTGTGGTGAAAACAATATATAACAGAAGGGTTATAGGTAAAAACGTATACAAAATGAATATATAAAATATAAAAGAAAGAGTGAGAGGAAAGAAATACTAAGAACAATATAAGGAGAGATAAAAAAGAGGTCAGAATAAAAGTAGCGTAAAAGAAGAGGGGGGATAAAAAGGTTTCAGGTGATTATAGTTAAAAGCAGCCTAAAAAACTCCCGGTGTGCACCCCCGAAGGGGCACACAGCAGTTTCAGGGTTAGGTGAGGTGAGTGGGTTGTGTCATGCCCGCTCACTGTCTTGTGAGTTGTCATAACTACTTGCAACAGTGTTCAAGGGAAATTCTTCAAAACAACTTTGATATTTCTAATACTAATTTCATTATGCATTTGATTATTGATTTTAGCACTGTTCAGTTTTTTTAAATGTTCAAGGCGACGTCTTGGTTGACAACAACCTTGAAAAACAACACAGAAGAATATTTTCAAAGCCTGAAGCAGCTGGAAAAATTGTTCTTGTCGGTAGAGGCTGATATTTAAAGTAAAACCAGGTTTCAGATGTTGAATGTACTTTAGGAAACCTCCTATAGAACTCCACCCTCAGGAGCTGTAGTCGTGCACCATGATAGTTGGTAGTTGTGCTGTTTCACAGACTGTTCAGGCTGTGTGTGTGTGTGTGTGTGTGTGTGTGTGTGTGTGTGTGTGTGTGTGTGTGTGTGTGTGTGTGTGTGTGTGTGTGTGTGTGTGTGTGTGTGTGTGTGTGTGTGTGTGTGTGTGTGTGTGTTCCTCTGCATCTTTATTTGTAATCTCTCTTAACCTCAATTTGTAGCCTTTATTTATCCAGGTAAAAAATCCCATTGAGATCAACGATCTCTTTTACAAGGGAGACCTGCCGGTCAATCTATTTAACTCCCAGGTCTCTCTACCAATCAAACACACACAATAAAATAAAGTCTGACAGATGTTATAAAACTGAGAAGTCCCGCCCCCTGCAGTAAAAGATAAGGACTGTAATCTTGTTTAATGAAGATTACCTATTCAACAGTTGCCACAATTGTATTAGAACGTATTAATGTATAACCTGAGTGAGTCCAAAGTTTATAATTGATTAACAGAGACATTCAAGGTGAAACTCTGATAACAACAGGGTGGATACATTTGAACTGTACTTGAATATATTACACAGTTTTTGCAAAACATTTCTCTTGCTGTTACAGAGACATGTGCACACTGAGAAAAATGATAATGAAATGAATTAGGCGTTACTTGGTTCACATGATACACTGCATGAGCCTGTGATTTACAGATTGTACGACAGTCAGGAGACAAAGAGAAAGAGACGCGCGACACTCAACAGGTATGTGGTCTTCGTCTAACATTTTATTTTAAAAAGTGGGTCTGCATTTTGAGTTTTGGCCTCTCTCAGCCTGTGTTTCAACTGTACATTGGTTATAGTTATATAGTCATATATATATGAAACGTTTGTTTAATTGTTCAATCTTCCCATATGTACAGATCAATACAATTGAATAAACTGGTAATTGTGTACAGAGAGTCTTTATTTAGATTATTGTAAAATATCTAAACAATAATGGCAGCTTTAAAACACTATTGAAGTCTTAAGATACTAAAGTGAAAGTAAACTGTGATTTTTTCTGAACGCCGCAAAGACAGACACAACATGACTCTTTGTTCATATTTATTGAATACTTGTCAACACAGAAGTGAAAATGACGGTAAAGTGAAGCTGTTCTCTCTTAAGTAGGGTGTGTTTGATACAGAGGACATAATATGAGGAAACATTGAATGTGTGTAATTATAAGTAAAGCACAGAAGATGGCAGCAAAGTTTTACTTTCCCTTTATTGGAGCTTCCAGTACAAGTAAAGTCCAAATGTGAATTTCACTTTATATTTAAATGACTATTAGATTTCTTTCTGACAAGCCTTTTTTAATGTTTTACATAAAAAACGATTTAAGATATGTTTTCACCTGGAAGTTCACACTGTTATCTGTTCTCTGTTCATCTCCAGCTCTCCATGATGCTTCTCCACACTGACGGAAAGCCCCTTACAACTCCTCTCAGAGCTCTCAGTGCTTTGGTTTTCCTTCTTCTCCTGACACACCACTGTAGAGGTAATTCACACACAAATACAAGCTTTAAAACTACATGTTATAGCGGAAGGAGGAAGTTTATGTTGGCATAAACTCGCATTTAAATGTACATTAACAGCAGAATATAGTTTGAGTTTAGCTTGTAGGTTCTGTCCTAATCACTCACACAGAACATTGAGGAGTGATAATTAACTAAAGATCCCTCGACACTGCATGGACTAAGAGCCTTGTGCTGCAGAGGGAACAGCCACAATGAGCCCATTACCACTCTCTGTTAAATCCTCTCTGATTAGTCTACTGTCTACTGCCAAGACTTTCTAAATCCTAAATACAGAGCCAAGAGGTTCAAAAGTCTTTCAGGAACCTTGAATTCCAATATATTGGTCGTTATGGTTTTATTTTCCAAAAGACGCCAAAGATATGTCACTAATAAGTAAATACTATGTAGCGAACACTCGAGCTACCATCATTTATGTCCATCTATACTTTCCACTATCACGCATGTTATTAAAGAAGATCCAAATATGTCTTAATTCTAGTATAATTACTTGGTCTTTTGTTTATTTCAAACATGTTTAAATTGGAAGAGATTAAAATGTACTTCCTTTATCTTCGCAGGTCAGTCTCAGCTGATTGGCTCATCTCAGCCAATAGTAGCAAACATTGGCGGTGACATCATTTTGCCGTGTTATCTGGTGCCGGCGATAAATGTTGGCAATTTGACGTTGGAGTGGACGAGGCCCGACATGGACCCCAGATTCGTCCATGTGATGCGTTCTGGTCATGAGATGGTGGATAAAAAACACAAATTATTCAAGGGAAGAACATCAATGTTCACCGATGAGCTGAAGAACGGAAACATTTCTCTGAAACTCTCCAACGTACAACTCTCCGATCAGGGGAAATACAGATGTTTCATTCCAGAACTGGGCCGGCAAGCATTTGTTCAACTGGTTTGTGGTAAGTTCACAATGAATGTGTTCAGGGTGCATGTGCCTTTTATCTCTAGGAAAGGACTGTATTTAGATCTCTGTGTTCCAAAAGACTCTGATAATGTAATACTCTAGTCTAGAGCTCAAAGGTGAGAGTATCAGATTGTAGTTGGTTGTTTGGAAATGGTATAAGTCACCGCTTTTTACAAAACATGTTTTATTGTCAGAGCAAAAAGCCATAAAACTGGGAAACAATTCAATTTCAGGATAAATAATATTTCTTAGGGTTAGGGTTAGGGTAACTTTTAATAATGGGTTGAACGTAGTTTAAACACAGAAAGCAAATGCTCTTAAAGGTTAAGAACTCAAGATTTGTCTTATGAGAAACCTTTTAGTGTATTTACTTCATTCTGATCATTTTTGGGATGCAAATATGAGCTTTAACTTCCATTGCTTCCTTTAGCACAGCATCAGGTGCTGCTATTCCACCGATTGTAACTTTAGTTGTAGTCCAAAGCAAATCCTTTTATCCAACTTACAATAGGTGCAATCCTGCAAAATTCCTGCAGTTGCATTGGTTGTTTCTTTGGTGTTTGATAGCAGGAAACAATATACTAATCAAAACATGGATCTAGAAAGGTATATGATTAGAAAAGGTGTTTAGGGCAGAGTTTAATAACTTCAGTTTTGTGTCCAATAGTAGCTGGTATTCCAAGTGTCCTTAAAGGCATGCTCAGGTTAAGTTAATCAAATGGTTTCATCCACCTTGATTGATAGATGTAATTGGGTATCATCTGCATAAACTCTTAACTAACAGTGTTTGCCTAAATTCTACCTGCAAATGCATTAGCCTTAAATAAGCTAAACCATTTAGAGAACTACACCTTCTTTGTGTGTTCTGGATTGTATGGACTAAGGTGCCGTGAAAACAGGTGGGTTTTCAGTGTCTGAGAGGACAGAGACTCTCTGCTGTCCTGAAGTCAATGAGGAGATTGTTCCAGCACTCTTTGGTTAGGATTTCTGTAATAATTCTCAAGTATTCTTACACTCTGTTCTTCTTTACTAGTATCAGCTGCTGCTCTCCCACCAGTCGTAACGTTATCAGGGCTGGACGGTCAGAGTGGAGGAGTGGTGCTGCAGTGTGAGTCTGCAGGCTGGTATCCGGAGCCTGAGGTGTTGTGGCTGGACGCTGAGGGAAAGCTCCTCTCTGCTGGACCTCCAGAGACAGTCAGAGGTCCTGATGACCTCTATACTGTCAGCAGCAGAGTGACTGTGGAGAAGAGACCCAGCAACAGCTTCACCTGCAGAGTCCAGCACCACAACACCAACATGCATACCATACAGACGCAAATCCATTTTCCAGGTAGACATCATGTTCATCATTTAACATGTTTTAGTTTACATATCAGAGACCAAGTTTTACATAAATGCTGTGATGTCCTGTGTTTTATCATTTCAGATGATTTCTTTAAGCTCCAGTCCAGTTCTTCTTCCGTCATTGGTATGGCCGTCAGTTTGGCTGTTTGCATTCTGTTACTGCTGGCAGTTTCTTTCTTCTTTTTGTGGAGAGAACACATATTCAGTAAGTCACTAACAGTCTGGTGATTTGACTCAGTTTGGTTAATTAAAGGGACCCTATTATGCTGAGTGCTGTATGTTATGTAGGTTTGTGTGCATGTTAATGGTCTGCAAAGGCTACAATATCTCCCACAAACTCCCCCCCCCCGCCTGAAACGCCTCCATTGGACTCCTTTGTTTTGAGCATGGTGACATCACTATGTAACACTTGCGCTTCTATTGGCTAGCACTAGGGGCGGGACATCTCTAAGCCGTTGACCAATCACCCAACTGTTCGGCTACATTTAGACTGAAAAGTTTGATGTGCTTCGATCCCTTCCTAAAGTTCCTCTAATTCTCTTTCAACACATCTTAACACACGTTTCATTTCACACAGAGACAAAGAGAAAGAGTTCGGATGAAGATCAGTTTCTCAATGAAGGAGAAAGAGGACAGCTGATGAAACCTGACGCTGTGCAGATGGAGGCTTTGAAGGGAAACGTAGACAATCAGAGCAAACAAGTCAGTAGAGAAACAACAACATGAAAAGTAAAGTCTTATCAAGAAGCACAGAAGACTTTCACATCAAGATACAGGATGTAGAAATGCATGAAAACATGTGTCATTGTGTGGCACCTTAAGAAATAATCACTAAAGAAACGTGACTGTTCCTCTCATAGAAAAATCAATCTGAGCAGCAGCTGCTTGAGGAGCAGAGGAGGAGAGAGGAAGCTGAGAAGGAAGTCCAGACTCTGAAAGAGGAGCAGAGGAGGAGAGAGGAAGCTGAGAAGGAAGTCCAGACTCTGAAAGAGGAGCAGAGGAGGAGAGAGGAAGCTGAGAAGGAAGTCCAGACTCTGAAAGAGCAGCTGCAGAACAAGAAGAAAGAGGTTCATCTCCACTTCAATAATGAAACACATTGATTCCTGTTTGAAGTCACTTTCAATGTCGTCCTTAGTGTAGACAAGGTCAAACCTGCAGTGCAGGTCCAAGTGGAGACCACATCCAGACAGTCCTACTTTTAGACTGTGAATAAATGATCTTAATCTCCCTGCTGTTCTTTCAGGTTGAATCTAAAGAGTCTGAGCTGCAGGATCTCCATGCAGAGAAACAGAGGAACCAGAACCAGCTGCAGAGCCTGAAGGGAGATCTGCTGAACAAGAACAGAGAGGTTCACGTCTTCATCTTAAATATTCTGCATTTATTGTAAAACAGAAAAGCATTTGAGGAAAACCCCAAAACAAGTCAGCAGGAGCAGTGACACAGCATGCACACTTAGGTGTTAGGCTTACAAAATGAATTGTAGTACACTATGTTTACTTCAATACATGTTCTTCCATTCAGTAACATTGAGCATAATAGATCCACCTAACTGTATGAGAATCTATAATGATCACATGCTGTGATGTAGTACTCATGTGTCTCTACATGTACTTTCTCTACCAGCTGGGGAGAATTCAGAAGACCATAAAGGAAGTGTCCAAACTTGATTCGGTAAGTGGACATGATGTTAGTGCATTACGGCTGTGGCGCAGTGGGCTATTGAATTGATCCTCCAACAGGAAGCGAGTCAGTTATCTCAATATCAATGTGCATCACTAATAGATTGTAAAGAGATAATCAGACTGGATTCTTTAACACATAAAACTGTGCAACACTTTAAAGACTGAACAGTATGTTGAGTCACTTTTCTCAAAAAAATCCAGACTATGAAAGAAAAAGAACAGAAGAAGAAGAAGGCTGAAGCTGAACAGGAAGTGGAGACACTGAAGAAGAAGCTGGAGAGCAGACAGAAGGAAACAGACACCAACATCACAGAGGTTACTGTTTGAATATGTTACTAAAAGTATAGATTTCAGTTGATCTTCTCTGTATGTAGAGTTTATACAGTTATATGGATTGGTGCATGATTATAACGGTAAACGATGTATTTAGATTCTGGAGGTGTTTGGGGCAGAGTATAATAAATGTTCATGACTAACATCAAAAAGTTGATGGTCATCCAAGAGTTCATGTCCTCAAGGCATGCTGGAAGTTTAGGTCATTGAGTATCATCTGGATACAAATGAAACTTCTGGAGTGTTTCCTTTTTATTTGGAAGCATTAATATGTTTAATAGAAAAGCTCCTAGTATAAAACCTTGCATGACTCCATGACTAACTCTTTTAATCAGAAATCAGGGTGAAGTCCTGCAGTGTAAACTAGACATTAGTTTAGTTTCTAACAGATGATGCTGATGAGTCACTTTAGTCCTGATATACATACGAACAAAGGTTAATGATAAAACATGTCTCTCTCTCTCCTCTCAGTGTGAAGTGAAGGAAGCTGAAGTCCAGCAGCTGCAGGAGGAGGTTCAGAGGATGGAGACCAGCCTGCAGACCCTGATGGAGTCCATCATCATGGAGGTTAGACTTCCTGCATGAACCATGCTGTATATGAAGATCTATAGTCTGATTCTAGTTCAAAGGAGCCACTTCAACTTGTAAATGTGTTGAGCATCCTGGGTCACTTGAGAGTTCAATCAGAAATCCTGTTGCTGAAGTTGTTGTTTCAAATCCTCATTGTTTCTATCCTTGAAGTTTCACAGATATGTGCACTTCATTAAAAAACATGTGCAAAGCAGATTTTATGAGTTTATAACCATAGATCCAGGTTTGGTTACCTCCATGTTTACAGTCTTCTCCTCTGTCATGTGATGTCCAATGAGAGGAGTCTGTACAAACACATGGACCCAATCATAGAGACACTTCTCCACAGAGCTTCCAGTGGAACTAATGATGTGAAATGAGAGTTTTAGTTGTTGAGATAATAACATGTAAAAACACATGAACACGTCTGTCTTCATCTCTCCACTTCTCCAGCTGGAAAGAAGCCCAGCTGCTGAAGCCAGTTCTTCCTCCTCTTCACGGGTAAGTGGGTTCAGATCAATACGATCAATACTCTCTTCTGGTTTCCTGACCTACATAAAGCTTCCTTTATAATCTCTGGCTGCAGAAGAGCTGGGAGGAAACGTGTGAATATGAACTTACTGAGAGGCATTTGGTCAAATGTGATATTTCATCTCTCCTGTCTCGTCTTTTAGTTTAAACTGAAGATATTATCCAGAAACAAGTCTCAGGAGGAGAAGAGGAAGAAGAGGAGGGAGGAAGCTGAGGAAGAAGTTTCCATCCTGAAGGAGAAGCTGCAGAATGAGTCCAGAGAGGTTTGTGTTTGATATCTCCAATCAAAGTCATTCAAAGACAGCGTATGATATCCAGGGAAGCTACTCGTGTCCTAGATCAAATCCTTTCCCCTCCTTTCTCAGATAAAGTAACAACATGCATCTAAACCTGGTTTCACTGCTCTTTCTTCACTCTGCTGACTCACTAACACAGACACACCTTTGACTCTGATCATCTGGACGTCCAGCTATAAAGAGTTCATCTGGAGGTCTCTCTTCTTCTGTCTGTGTCTCCTCTCAGGTGGAGAGACTACAGGCTGATCTACAGAGAGGAGGAGAGGAGAGGAGGAGGAGGGAAGAGGAGATGGAGAAGAGGAGGAGGGAGGAGGAGATGAAGGAGGAGATGAAGAGGAGGGAGGAGGAGATGAAGAGGAGGGAGGAGGAGCTGAAGGAGGAGATGAAGAGGAGGGAGGAGGAGATGAAGGAGGAGATGAAGGAGGAGATGAAGAGGAGGGAGGAGGAGCTGAAGGAGGAGATGAAGGAGGAGAAGAAGGAGGAGATGAAGAAGGAGATGACAGAGAGAAAAAAGGTTCATCTTCCACCTACTGTATCTGTTCGTTACAAGTTTAAATCTCATAATAACTGCTTTAAATATCATAGATGTATTAAAACGTATAACCACACATAGCATCATCTCTCAAAGAGTCAAAGTATTGAAAGATTGTAAAATTGAATTGAAGCCACTCTCGATTTAATCGACTGTGATCATTCTTTTCTTCTGACTTCAAAGTATAAAGTATATAAAAGTATAACTTAAATGAGCTGTTGATTAAGGTGATGGAATAAAGACATGAGTACAAGCTCTAATTTAACTGAATATGAAATATGTCATCTTTGATGTCCTACAGGGAAGTTTATGGTCAAAACACTTCTGTTAGAATTATGATTATTTTTACTTTATGAAACTGTTAAAATCAACATCTGTGTGTTTGTCAGGAAGCAGACCAACAACTAGCTAACCTATTGAGGTTTGAGGAAGAGCTGAAGGAGACACAGAGTCAACTGGAGATCCAGAGAACAGAGAACAGCAGAGTGAAGACAGAGGTACACACACACACACACACACACACACACACACACACACACACACACACACACACACACACACACACACACACACACACACACACACACACACACACACACACACACACACACACACACACACACAGTGTTGATGTTAGTTGGTGTAATATATTACATTTCCTCCTGTGATTTAAACTTTGTGTGATATGGTTATGTGTTATGTTAAATAAATATAATGTCTCCTCCTTCCAGTTAAACGATCAACTCCTCACTGAGCAGAAGAGGGAAGAGGAAGCTAGGAAACATCTGAAGGAGCTGATGGACCAAAACAAGGAGGTTCATCTTTTCACACAAATATCTTTTTATTTCTATGCAAGACATTGAACGACTGAAACTGGACTCGAGGTCAACTGTGAGGAAGAAAAGTATTTATTGTTCCTTTGAGAGAAAATATGATGCAGACCAGGAACTAGTTTGAATCCAGACCAGGATGTTATGTTCCTTCAAATCAAGTTCAAATGTCTTTATCTCTCTTTACATCTCAGTTTGAGAAGAAGCTCCAGGAGGAGAAGAGAGGAAGAGAGGAAGCTGAGAGAGAACTGAAGGATCTGAAGGAAGAGGTGGAGAGCAAGGTAAGTGTTTCACACACACACACACACACACACACACACACACACACACACAGGGATTGAGTATTTGTGTGTATTGTCTGACCCTCAGGCGCAAGCTGTTGGATATGAGGAGCAGCAGGAGGGCGTCCGCTCGGAGAATCAGACCTCAGACTCAGGATTTAATATCGATGTCGACCGACGGTGCAAATATATCTGGCTCAGAAACAAATCCACTAAGGTAATGTTGTTTGTGTGGATAAACTCTGCATGAGTGCTTTATGAGTGTGAATATTGTAACTTATCCATATCTCAAATGAGCTGTTCAAACCATCAAAATGTGTTAGGTAGCGTGGAAAAGGTAGGACCCAACTGCAGACTACAAAAAGAGGTAACAGGTCTATAAACAAAAACGAGCTTTTTTACAAAAGCTGATGACATGACATGACTTGAAACAAAACGAAAGCACAAGGAAAAAACATTTACTGAAAGACTAACCGTGACCAACATGGAGGGAGACAGGAAAAACCAACAATGAACCGACCAGGCACACAGGGGAAGACAAGACTAAATACAGAGAGGGGTAATCACAAGACAAGACACAGCTGGGGTAAGGGAGGCAGAAACACAAGGGCAACAGGTGAACACAATCAGAATAATCAGGTAGGAGGGAAAACAGACAGAAAGCAACAGGCAAGACAGGGGGTGAACTCTTTTCAAAATAAAACAGGAAACCAAAGACAGAAAAAGACAAGACAAAACACAACACAGACAGATCGTGACAAAAATAACTAGATGCCTAGAATCCAGTTTCTCTTGTTTTCATGTCATCTACAAACACAGTGGGTTCAAATATCATCATAAATGTCAGTCTCTCTGTCTCTCTCTCTCTCTCCCTCTCCTTATGTAACCTCCTGCAGTACAAACAGATGAGAGACTGGGTGTTACATCTGCAGGTTAACAACAATGATCCCATCATGTACAGATTTGATCAATCTTTCAAACTTGAGGCTGGAAGAGATGTCACTGTGAGTCTTTCTAGTTTTCTCACTTTATGTTGCATTTTTCCTTTTCAAATGTTTTTCATTCAGCACTGAATTATATATTAAAACATAAGAATATAAAAAATGCATTATTATTTTAATTATTTCATGATTCAATGATTCTGCTTGTAATTCTGTGATTTTGTATTTTACAGATGTGGGCTCAAGGTGAAGATCTCAATCGTCCTAACACTGAGCTGGTGTGGAGCGACCTGAAGCCCTGGAGCTCTGGAGACAGACTGAAGTTCACCCTCTACAGCAACACTGGAAGGATGCAATATGAACTCTGTATGACATCCACTTAAACAGAATAATGAACCTCCTCTGTTCTGCTCTGTTGATCTTACTCCAGTTTTATTAGAAGTTTCAAATTAACTCTCAATTTCAAAAACACATAAAGCAGGAGTTTCAGGAAGTACCTCAATCTGAGATGAGATGAGTCATGAGAGAAAGTTCCCATTATAAACATCATAAACAGGAACAGCATGACTTCCTGCCCAAACACAGGTTGCTGTGACGCTCAGTGAAGACGAGGAGATCAACCATTTACAGACACACTTTTATTATTCTGATATTCAACAATTTAAAACATGTTTTGTGGTAAACAGATCTTCCTCTGATTGATGGCCACTGCTTTTATATTTTACTGAAAATCTACTCTTTTCGTTAAAAAATTATAATTTAGAAATCTCAGATATGGAAATGTTTGAAATTGTGTTTTGTATTGATAGGTTCAGAAGCTGATGTCCCGCTTTGATAATATTCACTTTGGGAAATACCAACTTCTGTATATGTTTGTAATACATGTCACATGGGGTGCTACTTACAATTTACAAAAAATATATATAATTGAGTATTTCAGGGTTGCCAACTTTGGGTACCTGGCTGGAGTGAGATTTTGATATCATGGGTTTAATTCGGTTTAATTACACATATGCGCACGAAATGACTGCTATCGTGTCAGCAGCGAGACCTTAGCATATATATAGGATATATATACAATATATACAAATACACAATAATGGACACAGATTATAAAGGGCACACAGTTTCATTCACTAATGAAAGTCAAACATGTTTGTTTCCACTGTTTTATTGTGTGCCTGTCGCGATAAGCAATTAATTGACTTATCGTACGATAAATAAAAATGAACTCGATAACTTTTCTGACCTCGATAAATTGCCATTTACATGAGAATGTGACTAGCAGTTTGAAAGGATGTACTTGAATTATTATTATATATTATCATTATGTCAGTGGTCTAAAATGGTCATACAACGGTGCCGACAATATTATCGTTTATCGCAATAATTTCCAGGAAAATGTATCCAACAAAATTAATGATCGTGAGAGGCCTTCTATACATGAAACACACACACATCTACAGACTTACTCCAAACTGCCAAATATATTAATTAACACACTCTCACTCTCATATACTCTTTGACTCTATTTTGGCCAAGTAGAACAATAAGCAGCAGACTTTTACTTTTTTATCATTTCTACTGGATCTTAGATCTGCGCATGCGCAATACGAGTCGGCAGTTGCGGCTCCAGAGTATTTTTGTTGGGTAATCTATGGTAGGGCTAACCCATACAGTGGTGGGGCTCAAGTCAGTATTTGCAATAAAATTACATACACGCTCCCCCCGACAGTGAAACGCCACGCGTGAGGTTTAGATTATTTCCCTGTCTCAATCCAAATTGAACTGTATGAAATAAAAAGGCACATTTATCTTGTAGTAAATAAAAAGGTCGACCTGGAGCCAATCCTGCAATTTCCCCACAGGTGAAAGAGTTGACATGCTGAAGACCCAACCCCTGCAGGGGGGTCTGGGGGGATTCTCCCCCAGGAGATTTTTTTAAATACTAACATCAAATACACATTCTGGTACTCTCTTGAGACGAAAAATAAATAAATCTATTACTACACGACATATTTAAAAAAATTAATGCCATTTTAGTTTTTTGTGACTTTGTTCTGAAAGCTGAACCTGCTGCTCCTCACAGAGAGAAGAGGGAAGAGGCTGTGTGAATTACTTTACATTGTGGATAAGGGTGGATAGCCCCCATTGTTCTGTGTGTCAAAATGAAAGACAGCCCACACACCTATCAATCATCAAACCGTGGGGTCTTATTTCATTACGTGTTGATTTCTATTAACACGTAATGTTGTATCGATGTATAGAGATGTACTACCGCAAAAGTATTCTCCGTCGGGACTTCCTGCAACAACACCACGCCGTTATCGTGATTCTGATTGGCCAGAAGACATTATCAAAGATGTTCTATTGAGAAGACGATCACTACGTGACAAAAGTTTTCAAAACCGTTTATAGTCTTCGGTATTCTTGTTTTTGGCGTGAGAATAGTTTGGGCAGCGTGAGAGCGTGAGGTTGAGAGTGAAAGCGTGTGTCACACGCCAGATGCGTGAGAGTTGGCAACCCTGGTATTTTTATTAAATAAACAGTAAAGATAAGTCTGTTGTTGCTTTTTAACACATGTCTACAGTTTCTACAGTTATGTTAGCAGCTCAGTGAGGCTGCACAGCTGTCCTTTGAGCTATAATGCTACATTTGGCATGCTAAAATGCTAACAGCGACAATGCTACCATGCTTGCAGGAATTATCATGTTCAACCCAAAGAATTCTGTTATATATACGTTCAAGTTACGCCATGAAACTGTGAATGTTTTGCTGTTTCTACAAAGCTTCTTGAAAGCCTCTTCTACATATTCTCATACATTTAAATACAAATATGTTCTGTGGGTTGTGTCTGAGAAGCTGAAAGTAACTGGAGTCTAAAATAAAACTCAGATCAACATATCCTCAGCTCGCCTTTTAGAATAAATGCATGCGTCAGTCAGTACCTCAGTGGTTTTTAACTTTGTCTTGAGTGTGAGAAAGTCTAGCAGCTGCTGCTCGTACCATCATGTGACACAGAGACGTTACACACCTCACACACAACCTGAGCAAAAGAAGAGACTAAGAACAAAGTGATAATGTCCTCGGCTCGTGGTGTTCATTATCTTGATGACCAAACTCTCTCTAATCTTTTTACATGAGTTATTTCTGTGTGACCCTGAGTTTCCCACAATGCAGCAGTCCCACCAGCAGCCCCTTATGAAACAAAAATATATTGTAATATATTGGTAAATATAATACAATATATTGGATCATACATTTCCATATATGGGAAAGTAGTCCTTATATTTTTAAATATATTGCAATATATGCATGGACCATGTATGGCTATATATTGATACATATAAAAAAAATATATTGCAATGAAAACAAAAACTGCACTATACATTTATATGTAATAGTTTTATTGAAACACTCATTTATCTTTCATGAGTTTACATAAAATTGAACAGATATTCATAAACAGTTATCTCACTTCGTTTTGTATAGTTACCCACTTTATATATGAACATATGTTTGATGGTAGCCTACATATAAAAAAAGTACAAATTGTCCATTGAATGATGGAAAATAATATACAGTTTATAAATATATATAGACACACACATATATGCACGCATATATATATTCATATATATATATATATATATATATATATAAATATATATATATAAATATATATATATGCATATATGCACGCATATATATATGAATATATGCACGCATATATATCTATGCATATATTACGGCCGACCGGCTATTTGGAGTGGAACGCAGCCCATCCACGGCAGACAGATTGATTGATTGATTGAAAAGTTTATTAACAGCTTGTATATTGGGTACAGTACAGTACAGCTCAAAACATACAATTGTTAAGGGGATGCAGACCAGAGAAAGACTTTCGTCTTGTTTACATCAGGGTCCCCCATTTCCAATTCATCATATCATTTAAGACATATAAGACATATTTGACATACAGATGGCTTATTTACAATTTACATACAGGTGGTTTTTTACATACAGATGGCTTATTTACAATTTTCATTTTAGATTTCGTTCTAATACATCCTAACCGGACATTTAAGACATACCAAGTCTACAGATATACAGTTAGTAACAGAGTCTAAAATGCGAGTATATACATAGATGGGGGGGGGAAGCTGTCCATTGTACGACAGGTTGAGATTTGTACCATTACCGGGGCCAGTTTTGCAATGCTTTCCCCCGAAGGTGCTCTTTAAGAGAGGTTTTGAAGGTAAGTATAGTTTTACTTTCCTTTACAGTTGTGAACAGCCCAAACAGTATTCGAATGCGCCACTTCCGGCTGATTTCGGGGAGCCCCCCCCTCTCTCCAGCAATAGATTGATCTGATTGGCAGATTCAAATCTGCGTTGCTGCCTCTGTCTGTTGATTCTGTCGCTGAGTGTCAAAGAGAAAGCATTCATCAGGTGCTTCGAAACGGAAAATTAAAAAGAAACGAGAGGAAAATACAGCACCAGAGTCAGGTATGTGTGTGAGCATTTAAAACTATTTTAAATTGAAATAATTCTGCATGTACACTATAAGTAGTCTAGTTGCTTAATCCGTATGTCCCGTCTCTCGGCACTACACCAGCTACATTAGCTAACGTTAGTTAAATTAGCTATGTTAGTTCCCTCGTGTATGAGTGTATAACCGGTCCGCAGCTTTGTGAACATTCAATTTCGAAGATTTTCGATTTTACAGTCAACTGAAGTCGACCCAAAACAGCCAAAAATAGCGGACCTTTAGATCGCTAACATTTTAGCATAAGTCAATGAAGTTTAACATAGCGAAAACTAGCCCCACGGCTAACGGACATTTTCTGACTGGTGACGACGATGAGCTAGTTAAGTAATGTAACCACAGTTAGTCTATGTCTTGTAAATTCCCCTTGTTCTCCTTGATCTGCATTATATCGTTCGTGTTTTAGTCAGGCACATTTAGGGACAGCTAAAGTAGTTCAGCTACGGGTCTTCGAGCTGGTTACACATGTGCGTTCAGGACATTATTGGCATCGTCACATGCATAATTACCATCGTCACAGAGAGAATGCGTTCGTGAAGAATGTGAGCATATATGCAGATCTTTAGTGTTGGTAATGTTATAAGATTGTATGCATAGTGTCCTGCTCAGTCAGTGTGTTAATGAGTCTTGATGTCCCGTTTTTAGTTTCTATGTTGTTCAGGAATTGAGCTAATGCTAGCTAGTTAGCTAAGTTAAGCTCTGATAGTGTGTGGATGAGATGCTAACTTAGCTTTTATTAGCCGTGTGTTTGCAACGTGTCTAATGTGTTTTAGCAACAATTAGTATTGCTGTTGCTTATTATTAATAACCATCGTCTGGTTAGTTATTGTAATTTGAACCTTATTTCTATTTCTGTGTATTTTGCAGAAACCATTCATTCATTCTCTACTCTACGTTAGGCTATGTGTTGTGGACTAATGCATTCAAGTTAGTTCACATTTTAGTTGTTATTGCCCCTGCTGACAATTGTGTGGATAATATGTAGCCTACAGTCAATGGCATTTCACATTTTGCTCTCCAGTGTATGTTATTTTAATGTTGACCCATAATACTATATATCTATATATTTTACAGGAGCATTGTTGAAATTCATAGGTCGAACTAAGCCTGCAGAACCACAAGTCAAGAGGACAGAGGAGCCAGATAGCAGTGGTGACTGAGACAGAATAAATAAGGAGAGAGGGCCCATGCAGAGGCAGACATCAGTAGTGAGGAATCAGACCCAAAATATACGAGGACAGAGGAGCCAGATCGCAGTGGTAAGGAACGCACTGTCATTTAATTTCACTGTAATTTAACTTTTCACATATCACTTTATTCACTATTCAGCTTAGTTATCCTTGCCATGAAGGATTGAATGGATGAATGTTCTATATTATTTTAATGACAGATTGAACCACAGCAATATTGTTTTAGAGATTGTATATGTTTAACTGCTATGCCTGTCATCTCTGCT